CCAAAATTCTTCAAAACTTTTTTGGTGCATATTTGGACACTGAGAATCATTTGACATCTAAAATCAAAAACCAGGGAAAATTTGAAAAAAAAGTTTTTTTTTTGGATTCTCAGACCACTGTTACATCTGAAACTGCTCGGAAAATTCTGAAAATGAGAAATTTTCGAAAAACCGATTTTTATGTTTTTGGATTTTACAGCTATTCTCATGCAAAATTTCGAGTCAAGTGAGCTATTTTGAACAACGTTATGAATGCTCGAAAAATTCTCCTCACCACTTCTCGCCACTGTATCATTTTTGGTAAACCATCAGTCGACATCAATCTGTATAAGGTGAAACAAATCTATTAAAAACTTCAAAAGTTCATTTATCAGCCGAAAGAAAGAAGCGATAAAAAATAATGTCATATTGAACCGGTTGCGATATGGGTTTCACTTTGACAATTAAAAGAAAATCAATCATCTAGTTTTATTCTTATTGGTAATTCTTTCAAAACATGGTTTCGTCCAAACATAGGCCCAAATAAAGAAAAGTGTTGTCAATGAAATGGGAATCGCGACGATTCCAAGACTAACGACGCCAGCTTGAAGGGTCAGAACAGCACCTGAAATATTACGGTAATTAGGGATAATTAGAGTTCAATTATCTTGAGTTCTATAAGAGATGTCGAAAATGTACCAACTGATAAAATATTGGTGATAAGAAGACAAACATTTTATCAGTTGACAAATGTTTCTATATATTTTATAGGAACCGAGATAATTGAGCTTTGTTTAAGGCGATTTCCAAAGTTGTTTTGAGCTTTTTCTTTAGAAATGTTAAGCTAAATTAGATCATACGGTACCTGCAATTGCTCCACTAGCAGCGCTGCCCAATCCGATACCCAAAAATACAGAATCTCCACACGCCAACATTGCAGACGCACATCCTGTCACTCGTTTCGCTTCGTTCAGTCTTTTGTATCGCTCCAGTTCGGCCTGCAAATCTTTTTCGAATTTATGTCATATTATAGTTTTGGCGTGAGTTCAAAAATGCAAAAGTTTCAGATAGAGTTTCTTTGTCTGCGTCTATAAACTTCTGAACCAGAAAATTCTAGATCTTGCTGGTCCCAGTTTTCTAGGCCAAGATAATTGAATATGTGTGTGAATGCTTCAATAATTGTATGAAATGCATTGAAACTCGGTAAGTACCCACTGAAAGACTCATTGGAATTCGACGGTTTTATGAAACTGTAATTTATTAAAAAAAAGGTCTAGCTTTTCAGAACTGACAAAAATAATTCACTCGACTTTTTGAATTGTAATTTCATTTGATTAACTTTTTAAATTGATAAAGCAATCAGAAAAAAACTACAAGGCATTGCTGATTGGCTATTAAAAGTTTCGCAAAATTTGTTATTTTACTAATTTAAAAATTCTCCAGAGCAAATAATTAGAAGTTATCATTTTTGAAGAAGTTCATAACATTGATGGAACCGAAAGAAAAAATTGGGTTATTGATTTTGAATCACGGCTCCTGTGAAAGATATCAAAATGGGTCAACTGATTAACCATTTATCATGAAATGTGGTACATTTTGTCGATACCCTTTACAAGAATTGAGATGAAATTCCTTAAATTAGACACTCATATCAGTAAGCGTCAGCTGCGACCTAACGGCGACTTAAGTCAATTTAACTACCGTAATACCTGTAATAGAAGAGCCCCAAACTTTTAACTTTGAGCAAATTTATCTCAGTTTCTGTTAAAAATATAAAAAATGTCAACTACAAATTGTTTATCACAACATCACAAACAGTTTATCAGTTGACACACTCAGCAAATTTTTAGCACATGTGCCGCTACTTGGGGCACCGGTGCCGCTGCAACGCGGTAATCGTGCCCGGGGGGTCGGGGCACGCATGCATTTTGCGTGCCGTTGCCGTGACGTATCCGTGCTCATGTGTGCCGTTATTTGAAATTTTTTCCCCAAAATTGGCTCAATTAATTTTAATATTTTCTTTAAATTTAACAGTTTATTCGATTAGAAATTCAAAAAAAAAGAGTAACAAAAAAAAGAAAAAACGATCATTTAAATCTGTAGAGAAGATTGTGTCGAAGATGTCGAATTTCGATGAAAGTACCTTTCCTACTCCTCTTCTCCAGCTTTATTGACGTTGGGCTTGGCAGGGTGTTTCTGAAAGAACTTTAAAGATTATTTACATAACTAATTGGATGAAAACTCACATTTCTTTGGACGAATTGTCTTCCCGGAGATCCATCGGAAGTTGTCTGGCACGTTTTCACCGAAGATCAGCGGAACTGTAAAACATAGGGATTAACATTAACCATTCGAACATTTTTTTTGAACACTGTCATTTCAAAATAGTCCAGTTTTTCACATCTCGCCCACTTACATATTTAATTTAGGATATTCATCTTTGCTGGTTGTAAAATACCTTCTTCTTCTTCAGTATCCCCCACGGTTTGACGACTTCCCTTCTCGTCTTTTATAACTGAAAAGATTTCCGACATCATTATTACTTGAACATCTCTCAACTCACCTATTTTCCTTCGGTGTCTCTTCCAACGGGACATCTGGTACAGCCAATGTCTGAAAACTAAACAGAAATATATTTCATGATTTTCCACCTGAAAGCCTAGAAAAACAAAACCAAATGCCATAAAACGGTGAAAAGTACAAAAATTTATGAAAATGAATGACAAGCTATTTTCGCAATATTTTCGAAACTCTATGGATAGAGACGATATGCGCAGATGGTTCAAGAAAGGCCACGGCAGCGGCACGGTAGCGGCACGCCACATGCTTGCTAGGGGCACGGGTGCGGTGTTCCAACGGCACTTTCAACGCGGCACGGTGCCGTTTGGATGCGGATCCTGTGCCCCTCTGTGCCCTGGCGTGCCGAAAATTTGCTGAGCATTTCTGATATCTCTTGTAGGAGCCGAAATAATATAGCTGAAACTTTACAATAAGGGAGCTCTTCTATTAAAGGTTGTGCGGTAGCTTTTATTGAAACGGAGATGGATCGAGTTACATTGTTAATCATTTCACGAAAGTTACACTGATTCGAAAATTGTTTTTTGAAAATTGAGCTTTAAGAGAAACAGTAAATATGCATTCTAAAATGACATATCACAATTTCAGCGTTAGCTTTGCACCGGCTTAACCTAATTTATCTCACTTCCTTCACAAAAAGAGGTGACTGTTCCAAAAACGTATTTTCAAAAATAAACTTTTAAAAAAGCAGTGAATTGTAGATAATGACATTATAATACATACTCTAAAGCAAGAATAAAAACCCACATTAATATCCTCTTGCAACTTCTCCAACAACAACCTTCTTACTTCATTCGATCCAATTTTTGGGCATTTATCATAAATATTCAACGCAGTGATTCCATGTTTGATATGTGCTTCGAGAAGTTTCTTCTCCGACATCATCCTAGTTCCATACGTAGATCGATCCATTCCTCTACAGTAGTTCACCTTAGCTTCGTGTGCCGCTTCAATGCAAATTAGTTTTGCATTTGCGTTCAGAATACTCTGTGGTTGTGGAAGAGTTTCTCCATCAAAGGAAGCCGCGTACTCTTTGAAGTATTGCATCATTTTTCGACAGGTTACGGTTTTGCCATTCACGATTTTGGGTTTTAGGTTATGTGGACCCAGAAGGTTGGGCACCATCTTTTTGAGTTCTTCACGGAAGAGGGGACGGAGGTCTGAAAATTAATATTTACATACTTCTCAAACAGTGATTGAGACCAATGAAAAAGTTCGGACTAAAAAAAGTTATGATCCTATTGAAACAGTGATTCTTGGAATTTTTTAAAACTTGGAAGGAGAAACGGTGGAATCAACGAGTTGAGATTTTTTAAAACTTATGATTTCGATGAAACTGCAAATTTAGTTTTTGAATTGAAAATATTTTATCTGGAAATTTAGTGGAATCCCTCAAGTTGGAACCAAAATTCATTAATTGAGAAGCAAAAAAAAATACCGTAAATATGATATTACAGAAACCGTAAATTTTAGAAATGTTGTTGTTGAAAACATCTTTTGAGAAGTTATTACAAGCGGATGAGCTAAGTTTTTTATTTTGAATGTGCTTGCAGAGCTAGAAATAAGCCACATATTTATGGTTTTTTCTTTGAAAACCATTGATTTTGAAGCACGTTATGATCCATTGAATTTTTGTGGCCTAGAAATCCAAAATGTGGGTTTTTAGGCCACGATTCAAAATGGGCATTAGTTACTTTTGAATCAATGGTTTTGGACAAAAAAAATCATAGATATGTAGCCCATTTGTAGCAGTAAGTTGATTTCAAACATCACAATAATTTGTAAACACATTTTAAAAACCCTGAAATCCAGAAAAAAAAAGAATCTCATTGTCAGTGTACACCAGTTTTCGATTTCTATGCGGAGTGTTTTAAACATGAATGGTAATCCGAGTGAGAAAAATCGGCCTTTTGAAAATTGTATCAACTTTTTGAAACAGTTAGCTGAATTTCTAGGGGGCCCTAGTTTAAGCCAATTCATCACGGCTCCATCGCAAACTTCAATGATCGGACAACTAACAAAATGTAGACAGTTTCATAATAAACATTTTGTCCGTTGACTACTTTTTGATATCTCTCACAGGAACCGAAATAAATTAAATCAAAGATAGCGAAAGCAAAAATTTTACGGTTTCATCAATGCTATGAATGTCTTCGAAACAATTATTTTCTAATTCAAGAGTTATAATTGGTAAACATTTTAGAAACCTTTAACACTTTTCAAAAAGCAGATTACTCACCCTTAACATGTCCTCTGAAACTCTGTCGTTCTGCAACTTTGTATCCTGGATGTGGTAGTAAATAACACTGAATATCCTCGAAATACTCTCTCAACAACTCCCGGACCACTTTGATCTCTTCAGGCTGTTCTGGATTTGTTTGCAAAACGTTTTCCAGGAAATCAGTGCCTCCGTTTTCTCCAAACTCGTATTCTTCTTGATTTTTGAAATCGCGAACGCAGAAGACTAGTTGCTGGAAAATTAAGTTTTGGTTTAAAGTATTTGGATTCAAGTTTGAAGGTTCAAACTTCAAGCTTAACTTGAACTTTGGGGCTTTAGCTTCATCTCTTCAATTTGAGGTAATTAAAGTTCCTAATTGCTCAAACATTTTGGTTGCTATGAGAGATACAATCAAAAATCTGTCAACTGATAAAATTTTTGTCATAATATCAGCAACATTTTTTATAGTTTTTAACTTTTTGATATCTTATACAGTAAGCGAGATAATTGAGCTTAAAAGGTATTGTTCTATAAGAGCATTCGCTATAAACGGAGTACCAAATTAGTACATATTCTTCGAAATCAAATGCCCTACCTGAAACGGTTTTCCAAAATTGTGCGGTTGCTCCATTGCCATTCTACCGTACTCCACGAAAAGCGAAAGATGTTGAAGTGCGTCCTCTTGAATGTTATCCACTACGTTGTAGATCTGAAATATCTAAATATTCAAGTTTCTCTTTTTTTTTAAAGTTTTTATGAAAAATTTGCATGTGAAGTTTCCGACAAAAAGCTTTAACAATAAGATTTGATTAAATGAAAATATTGTGGAATTGTTGAAACATGATTTTTTTCAAATCATTTTTCAAATCAAAAGCTCACCTGTACACTACTAACAATTGTCGATAATGCAAAAACCGTCATACACTGTTGATATGTTGAATTGTTGTCGAATGTTCCTTGTGTGTCCATCTGAACAGCATTTTGATTTTAATATGATTTTTTGTGTGACTTGGAGTCCAGTATTATTGAATTGAAAAATCTAGTTTCCATGATAAGCACATTTTGAAACATAAAATCCGAAAATGTCAAAATAATATGTCCTACTAGTTGTGGGGGCAATTTTTCGACAGAAAATCAGCTTAAAACATATTAGAAACCAGTTTTCAAAAACTATTTTCGACGTTTAAAATGTTACATTTTTTAGGTGCCAAGATTTTTAGAAATTCGGAGATAATATTATGAACTCATCACGGTCTCCCCAGCTCCCAAAATGAACTGCAAGCCTTTTTCTCAGCGGAGCGCGGTTGCGCGGGGCGAAAATTTTTTTTTGAAAAATTTTGCACTGAAAAGCCGGTTTTTAGCGAAATTTTCTCATTTTTCGACAATTTTTTCAATTTTTCGTCCATAGAAATTGTTAAACAGGCTAAAACACACATTTTGAGTACAAAAGCAGCTAGTTCCGACAAAAAATGAAAGAGGAGATCGACTTTGAAGCAATTTTCAAAAAATCGCGGATCTTTTCTCACCGCGAGAGATTTAAATCGAATA